ATCGTCAGATAAAAAAAATAAAATAAAAATATTTAGAATACTAGGGAAACGGACGTAAAATCGTCCGCGGAGTCAAAACCTTGCGTGAAAACTGTCATGGCGTCGTGTTATCTTTTTCACTTAGGGAGGGGCACAATGGATTACGTAAAGCCAATGAGATATTCATACAGTTATACAAACATAGCGATCTTTATTGGGTGGGTTGAGTCTAAATTTACCTTTCCTCAAACCTTTAACAAATACTCTGTATGACGCAGTTTTTCACAATCTCCTGTGAAATAGATTGTGCAAAGTTAGATGGCCAGGTTGAAATGGCCGTAATATTCTGCTACACAACGGCTATTCACAGTTTTTGTACTCAATCGCTCAAACGCCGGTGAGAAAAAGTCGAAATGGAAGACAACTATTGTAAATCGAAACAGGTTTCATTCAACTACGAGCAGACGCGATGGGTCGATAAAAGTTAAAACGAACCCTGACCTCTGGAAATACCTCATTCATGGAGTGCCATAGTACCAGAGGTCGCCGAGCATGGCCGTACAACGTACTTTGCGACATCGCCACAGATGCATGCTAGCTGACAAGGGGGTTTCCGATTAAGGTAACCAAGATGGCATCGCAGAGTGCGTGATTTTTCCCGCGGTATTTAAAAACAGCATCTCGTTGCCGATGTTTCTGTAATTTTCGGGGTATTTTTTATTTTTAAGTAACCGAGCATTTCACGTTTGTGTATTTTGCCACTGAAAAGTTAGTTATCGATGACAGCACAGCAATGGTCTGAATGGTGTTTATCCACTACTACATCGCAATGCTATCAGCACGGTGATCGTTAGAGCGAAACGACAAATGTAAAATTAGTCAGTTTTATAATGCCTTCGGAGAAAAAAATGCGTGAAAAAAAATATTTAACAGTACTCCACTGGAAGCTGCCAGGCTAGAGGTTGTCGACATGTTGCGAGATAAGGGCGAACAAGTTTACTTATCATTTACAACTGTATGTTTTTTGTATTCCGCTTGCATGCTGGAAGCATCTATGTGTTGTCTTTTTTTTGTAGTTTGCAAGACTAGTTGGTAGCGCTCGAGGTAAGTCAAACCATGGAAGGTACCTTCCATGGTTAAACAGGGTCGAGGACAGGAAGTTACACATCGCCGCACCGTAACTGAGGCCAGCAACTCATTTGCATATAACATCAACAGTGACTTGTCAATCAAAGAGCAACGTAAACAAACTTTCAGGACATCACATACGCGTGCCTCGATTCCCTATATTTTAAAATCCATTTTTGGGCATGTTCCAGCATTGACAATGCTCTGAAATTTCAACACTATCTAGCCAAGAAAAGCAAAAAAAAAAAAAAAAAAATTCACTCCAAGTGCCCACGAACAAGCATCTATACCTTAAACAGCCAGCTTGAGACTGAACTGAAGTGAGGAGAGGTCATAGATGGTGGACAGAATACCAGCTGATACGATCATATTGTTATGGATGTGCAGTTTCAACATGGTCACAATGTTACAAATATTACCCATATTGTCGAAAAAAAAAGGTTTTATATTTAAATAAATTTGGCTGCTCGCAAGAAACTTAATTTGCAGAAATATTGCTGGTGCAGTGAACTTTTAATGGACAAAAGGCAATTTTCAGCCCACAAAGCACCTATATAAACAATATTTTTAGAAGTAGTCAAGCACCACTGTCTACCATCCATTGGACACAAGGCATAACCGCATATGTAAAATGTACATAAAAACAGTGTGTGCAGAAGAGTTTTAAATGCCATACTGTCATGTACAGTTTTAACAACCAAACCGCAACATTAACAGTAGTATGTTATGTGTATTTAAAAAAAAAAAAAAAACATCTGACACATGCTGAAATAAACAAAGCTATACATCAACACAGGGATATTTATGCACAAGCAGATGACACATATGGCAATGTCTCGCATCATTTACAATTCAGTGATGATGCATGATTGGTAATGGTTTCAAGACAAAAGCAAGAATTACATTGGCGTTATTCAAATGCCATATTAAAAACATTCAAAACAGTTGACCTTCATTTTAGGTTAAAAAATATATATAACCTATAACACACATAACCTGTCCAGCTAAGTTCAAAGTGATGGCCCACCCATGTACAAAAAGCAACTTGTATGCTCTAATCGTATACATATGGTCCATATACAGTATGAAAGTATACTTACTACAGGTGCATCTGGGTTATCAACGAGAGATGCAAGTTCCACTAATGCCATGGAGTACCTTTCTAAATCCAACCCTACAAAGGCACTTTCATCTGCAATAAGATCAGAACAAATAATTAAATAACATTTCAAAAATTCAAGATTAAAATTAAAACAAAGTTAAATAGCAACTCAACTATTGGGGGGGGGGGGGGGGGAAGTGACAATTATTTATTTCAATATTCTGGGAGTATTTGTTCTCAATAAAAAACTGCTGCTTGGAGCAGATAAAATTTAGAATTCAAACTCTTCAGTACTTTAAATTCAAAATATCATCAAGATGTAAAATGTAAATACTGTATTGGCTACTGAAGCCGAGTGTCAGACAAAATTGATTTTTTTGAGCCAGTTGGCAGAGACTAACATTTTTCCAAAAGTGTTTTAAATATTTACACAGATCACTACAGTGATACTACATGGTTTGTAGGCTTAAGAATCAAGTGATAATGCTATCAAGGCACAAAAGTATGGCATAGCTGCCTTTAGGGTATAAGGATGAATATCTGATGTTCCGAACAGATGATAAAAGGTAGTAAATAAATATTTTACCAAGGAAACCTGAACGTATGTAAGATAAAGGCAGGAAATTAATATTTCACCAATTTTACTAAATAATGCTTAGGTAATAATAAAGTGTATGTGGGCTGGGAATTTACTGCTGCAATCATCAAATGGCAGAGATGGCCTTTCTGACTTTACACGATACAACTACTATATGTAGTTATATTGCATTCATTGCTTTGTATTTCCATTTCGCAGACACAGGAATTTGTAACAAGCAACATGTGTGAAAATAATCCTATATAATATCAATAAACATACAGGTTTTACTCAGCTTGAATTTCTTTCTATTTTGTATTTTATTTAAAGTTAAAGTTGGTGAAGTGCACAGATATACTGGGGACAACCAAGTTGTGCATATTAAATGATGTTAATTCTAAAATAATTGATGAATGAATAAAATAAATATGCATAATTTCAACAATAGTATGTAACAATATTAGTTACTTATTTTCTTCAAAACAGATTAAAATGCAATACAAATTTTAGAATTTGATTCAAGATAAATGTTCTACAGGTATATGAAATCTGGTGAGTATCTAATAACGATACAATCTAACAATAGGAACACTGTGGTCATGGTATTAAACTTAACAGGAGCAGACATAACTTACCAAAACCAAATAATATTACAGTATTCGCCGTTCGCTGGGGAGTTAATTCCAAATGTTCACTGAAGAAACTATTGACTTTCTGCCATATTAGATCAGGTATACCACATGTGACATCTACTGTGACCAGCCTGTTTGTGCTAACAAAGAACTCTATGTACGTCCTGACACTCATTTCATACAAGGCTGTACGTTTCTAAATACAAAAAAAAAAAGAAAACTGTCAATGTTGAAAAATTACACGCTTCATTACACATACATGTAGCCCCGGGTTCTATGGCTTTAGTTTACATTTTTCTGTTGTTGACAATTTAGACTTTGTCATGCTTGATCTCAGCCAAGAGTATGGGAATATTCTGCAGACTAAACTGTTGGACTGGTAACTGAACTAAGTTTTAATTGATATTTACAATGGGAACATTGACATGATCAGTCAAGGCATGTCAGAGATACATCTCTAAAACAGCTTTTATTAAAATTCCAGTCAGTCGTTTTGAAACCAATAAAAAATAAAAACACTGCGAACAAGTGGCTACCAGTCAGTCGTATTGGTGTAGATCACAATGCAAATCAAGTTTGGACCTAATTGGACAGCCTGAATGAGATACCAACAAAAAACCTTTCACAGCGAGAAAGGCACATTTGCTAAATTTTTACTTGTAAATAAATAATATATTGAACTATGAATAATAAAAGAATATTTGAACAGCAGTAATCCCACAGATTTCGATGTAGATGTTGCCTGTGGGTGGAGACTGATTCGGTATTCCCCAATCACACCACTGAAGGCAATAATAGACAAGACTTGCAGAAAGTATGTACTATTTTTATCAAGTTTAAAAACAATTGATCCAAAACGTTCTTGTTTTCAGAGTGTGTACAAAGACAAATAAAACAACTTCACTACTAGTTATCAGCACAAAGAAGTGATTCACCAATCATTATCAAATCATAACTGAATTAACAATTTTGATAAGTTTCCACTATAAATAAATTAATCATTGAAGGAGATACATGTTAAAAAGCAACTGTTTTATTGATGAGAAGAATACGACAAGGTTATCTGAATCGATATGATGCAGTTATAGGGGAAGACGAAATGAAATGCAATTGTTACCCTAGATTTTCAAAATACTTCATATCTTTAATCAGTGCGAATACAATTAAATAAATGTCATATTGCTCAATTTGTGTAGGCCACAGATTGGTTTATAAATATAACAAAGAATTATAATTTTGTAAATTTCAGTCCAGCTTGGTTAATAATTTTCAAAAATGGAAGCTGATAATTTTGAGCTCTGGACTTACTTAGTAAATAATATTAATGGTCTTGCATGTGTTAATATAATTTTGAATATAGTACACACATACACTAGACACAAATTCAGGCATCAGGAAATACTATGCAATTAAGAATGAATGCTTCCTCAGCCTGAACTCACAAAATTGATGTTACTCAATGATTACTATAAAGTAGACCATGCACGAAATGGACAATGATGAGTACAATAAATTACATCATTACCCAGTAAGTGACAGAAGGAAATTGAATAAGCACCTTCTGCTAAAACAAGTCTGTTTAATGTACCAAACACAAGAATGATGAATAATGCAATAAAGGTTGTCTAGGGTAAGGGTAAGGTGCATGGCTACAGATCACTGCTTTCTATAGATTCATTTTTTCACATCAAACCTGATGTGTGACATAATAGTGTCTGCCTAACATCAGAGAGAATATTGGTTTGATTCCCATGGTCAGCTGCACACTTGAAGTAAAAAAAACAGAAGAATGGCGTCCTTTTGGAGGGGATGCAAGGGTGTCAGTTTTTTGTATTGTTCCTCATGGCGAGCACTCATAAAAGATCTGGTTGTTTTGTCGCATAGAGTAGAAGGTTCCATGAGACAACTGATGTATTCCTGCATATGACTTGTGCTCTTCTATATACAAGAGTCTGAAAATGTGCTCTAAGCCAAAAAGATAGTATGAGTGGGCGATTCATGTCTTTCTGTAGTCATCCACAATGTTCTCAACAAAACAGTCTGAAAGATTTATATTATACAAAGGTAGCTACTATTTCATGATTACAATAGTACATTACAGTCCTGTAGTACAGCAAACACAGGCACTTCCGATGTAAGACTTGCGGTTAGAACTGTATTTAGGCCAAACAAAATAAATAGTGTGTTTCTGGTAACATTGAAAACAAAA